TTAAAGGAATTTAAAAGCTTATACAATACTCAAGTAAATACCACAGGTCAGCAATAAAAATATTATCAAAGAGAAAAGATACAAGTGTGGACGTAAAGATACAATTTGGACAGTACCACTACCTGGCTTAAAATAACTGAAGATCAAACAGCATTTCATAAATGTTAAAAATATAATATTTATAACTGTAAAAAAAAAAAATGTTGTTGAAAATTATGAGCAACGCCAGGGGTGTACAAATTATGATAATATAAGTAAAGGTTATATGTCTAGAAAGATAAAAGTCTATAAAAAAAATAAAAAAATAAAATGGTTATGTCAACAACAAAGATCCCCCTCCCAAAGTATGAGGTACATTCTGAGGCTCTAAAGCAAACCCAACAGACAACTTGTTTTACCAAACAACGAAGTATTTTGTTATAGTAGTACATAATGTATTACATATATGTACTATAATGAGTGGTCATTTGTGTTTTGACTTCTGGAAACCTGGTTTCTGTGACTCGTTATGCTCTCCCTTTACTTTGATGCCTCACTGGGCCGGTTATTGTTTTATCATCCATACATATATCAATAGCGTGTTTTTCTCAATAAAATTCACTACTTATAATTGAAAAAACACTCGATATTTCTCAATCTGGTACTACATCATTTATTGACTATTTCCGAGTACTAGATGGGCCGCACGCTACACCTGTATATTTTATATTTCCATCCGTACTTTCTTTGACTTCGATTGTTATCCTTGTGTGCTTTAATATTAATGCAGTACGGTTTTGCTATTTAATCTTCATAGTTCGTTTTCATTTTTGTTTTATGACGTCATTAGTTATCTTCAAAAACCAGTTACATGTAAACGTACATGTATATAAGCCGTTGCATGCGAGGATGATGGTCAATATATATGTATTGGAGAGGAAAGTACAGTGTCTGATCAAGTAACTACTAACATGATGGGGTATTTACCAAACATTGCGAGTCCGCGCGTCCGATATTCCGTCATTTTACACAAATATATATAATCGTTAAACGATATATCTATGTGAAGGACTTTGCACATACTTTTAATCACAGGTGTAGCTTGCCATAAAATATTCCGTCACGTCACTCCATCAAGATCCCTACCCGACCCGCGGGCAATGAGGGGTAGTGGTCGGATTCTGAGATGCGATAAAAATAATCCTATACATTTGCAAACACACCCTCAAACCCATGAAAATGTTAGTGTGTATGTGTGTGTGTGTGTGTGTGTGTCTGTTGAGAGGTTATAGTAGACAGTTCAAGTTAATTTGGTGAAGTTTTAGGGGGATGGGATGGGGGATGGGATGCGTACNCCCCCCCCCCCCCCCCCCCTAATAAATTTGTGTCTGGCTGTCAACTGTCAGGTGTCTTGCTATTGTTCCAAATAATTCCGTGTTTAAGTCTATCAAATGAATACAAATCAAAAATAGAATTGTACCTTAAGATTTCCGTAGAGTATGATATAGAAACAAGCATCTGTACTAGGTATAGGGTTTGATAAGATTAACATTGGTACCGACCCTACATCAGTAGTCTCAATTTATTGGGAAATATATATACGACGGTAAGTAAATATATGGCCGAGGGAAGCGAGGCGACAATTTTAGGCGTAAGTTTTTAAAGTAAAAAAACAAAATCGGTAACCCCCCCCCTGCATCCGCCTATGCTAGACACGAGTGGATCACAGCAGTTCTTACGATGGTGACGTAATAAAAATGTGATCACGGTCGTGGATGATTTATATCTAGATCTATTATTGTACAGGGGGCAATCACACCCACTGACCAATCAGAGAGCAGATTAACTTTAAGACCAGATGCGGACCGGAGAATGAAGCGAGACATCATTTAAGACATTATTTTATTAACGGGGATAAGGTGTCCACTAGGATATCAATTTCCTATTGTGTTTGATAATAAAATAAGACACGTTTTTCTTTGCCGCGCTTTGATTTATAGTCACTATGATGCTTGTAGTGACGACATTTGGTATCGAAATCTTTGTTTAATTGTAACAGGATATATAAAAGCACAGGAAAGTATACACTGTCGCTGAGCTGGGAAACCAGTGGGTACTTAGGGGAACGTTTGGATAGATTAGAACAGGCAGCTGTTACAAAACCGGAATGTGTAAATACTGAAGTTTAACAACCAAAGGCGCTGACTCCCAAACTGTTGGAACGGTGAAAGTTCAATATTCAAAACACCTAACTGAGCTTCACACTGGGAAATCCGTCTACATCAGCTCAATCATAATTAACATTCCCATCGGAAACATTTCGTACAAAGTAATTTAATTTTGAAACAATATATTTTAATTATCACTTGATTGCGGTCTGACATGCTCCAGTGAACAGCATTGTGTGGCACTACCACGCACCACTGAAACACAGCGGTAGAGATGAGCAGGGTTAACAGCTAGACAACAGCTACATCAGCCTGTAGATTACACAGCGGTAGAGATGAGCAGGGTTACCGGGACAACAGCTACATCAGCCTGTAGATTACACAGCGGTAGAGATGAGCAGGGTTACCGGGACAACAGCTACATCAGCCTGTAGATTGCACAGCGGTAGAGATTAGCAGGGCTAACAGCTAGACAACAGCTACATCAGCCTGTAGATTACACAGCGGTAGAGATGAGCAGGGTTACCCGCTAGACAACAGCTACATCAGCCTGTAGATTACACAGCGGTAGAAATGAGCAGGGTTAACAGCTAGACAACAGCTACATCAGCCTGAAGATTACACAACGGTAGAGATGAGCAGGGTTAACAGCTAGACAACAGCTACATCAGCCTGAAGATTACACAACGGTAGAGATGAGCAGAGTTAACAGCTAGACAACAGCTACATCAGCCTGTAGATTACACAGCGGGAGAGATGAGCAGGGTTACCAGCTAGACAACAGCTACATCAGCCTGTGGATTACACAGCGGTAGAAATGAGCAGGGTTACCAGCTAGACAACAGCTAAATCAGCCTGTAGATTGCACAGCAGTAGAGATGGGCAGGGTTACCAGGACAACAGCTACCTCAGCCTGCAGATTGCACAGCGGTAGAGATGAGCAGGGTTAACACCTAGACAACAGCTACATCAGCCTGTAGATTGCACAGCAGTAGAGATGAGCAGGGTTACCAGGACAACAGCTACCTCAGCCTGTAGATTGCACAGCGGTAGAGATGAGCAGGGTTAACAGCTAGACAACAGCTACATCAGCCTGTAGATTGGACAGCAGTAGAGATGAGCAGGGTTACCAGGACAACAGCTACCTCAGCCTGCAGATTGCACAGCGGTAGAGATGAGCAGGGTTACCAGCTAGACAACAGCTCCATCAGCCTGTAGATTGCACAGTGGTAGAGATGAGCTGGGTTACCAGGACAACAGCTACATCAGCCTGTAGATTGCACAGCGGTAGAGATGAGCAGGGTTAACAGCAAGACAACAGCTACATCAGCCTGTAGATTACACAGCGGTAGAGATGAGCAGGGTTGCCGGGACAACAGCTACATCAGCCTGTAGATTACACAGCGGTAGAGATGAGCAGGGTTAACAGCTAGACAACAGCTACCTCTGCCTGTAGATTGCACATTGGTAGAGATGAGCAGGGTTTACAGCTAGACAACAGCTACATCAGCCTGTAGATTGCACAGCGGTAGAGATGAGCAGGGTTAACAGCTAGACAACAGCTACATCAGCCTGTAGATTACACAGCGGTAGAGATGAGCAGGGTTACCAGCTAGACAACAGCTACATCAGCCTGTAGATTGCACAGCGTTAGAGATGAGCAGGGTTACCAGGACAACAGCTACATCAGCCTGTAGATTGCACTGCTATCTCAACTGATCCCAGTGATACATTGGATCTTACTGTGGAATCAAGTACAATATCGAAAACATATTTCTATGGTCGTATGGAAGTGTCTCGTGATCGTCTCCATCAAACACTTATCACACTGCATATGACGACCTCCGTTTATAAGACCCAAGATGGTTTAATCTCATTGTTTTCTCTCATGCTGATGGCTTCAAATTAAACTTCCCTCTCAAGCTGATAGCCTTTAGTTAAATTGTTCCTGATATCCTTTAGTTAAAACTTTCCTTGGCAGGTCGTGTGGCGCAGCAGATAGCGCACTTGCCTTTCACCAAGGTGGCCAGGGTTCGACTCCCCGGTCGGACATCGATATGGATGTTTTCTCATGGTATTCCGGTTTCCACCAACATTAAGACCCATCCCTACCCCTGCGCTCTGGGCCAGCAAAAGTGATTGATATAAGTTGAAATAACTTGTTTCATATTTGTTGTTGTAAAGTAAATAAAGTGTATATTTAAAACTCTCCTCTCTTTCCTATGGCACTCGCGCGCGCGGCCACAGATGGCGGATAAAATCAAGACGGTGGCTAAAAACAACCGTGTAAATTTAAATTAAAAGGAAGAGGGTTTCATCAACAAATCTTAAAAGGAATTTTCGAAAGAAAAGCAAATTATTTTCATCCAAAAATCATTTTCCCTAAAAAATATATTATTTATATCTATATATTAGCCATTTGATATGTGTGTCTGTCATTTTTAAATGTTTGTTTATGTACATAAAAGCTAATCCTTGTCTATTGCCTGCTGTTACCTGGCCAAAAGTGTCAAACAAAGAAATATTAGGATCAAACAATGTTCACTGATGGAAAGATCATATGGTGCTTGTTATCTCCGGTACACCCAGTCTTCTGTGGGAGGGTGTAACGTTTACCATATATTAGATATGCGAATACACGTAGCAGAATCGGGCATACATTGTTTATAATTAACCGGATTTGAATTGTTATCATTAAACTGCAGTTTGTTGATGAACAATTTAGACAATGACTTTGGCTATCCCGATGGGACATGATTCGTTCTCTATACCGATGGGACATGGTTCTTTCAAAACTTCAACTGTCTTCTTTTTCATACACAGAAAACTAGGAACCAAATATTGTTTATCATATCATGTCATTGCTGCAGGATCGCAGTACTGACGATATGGTGATACACAATCATGTTTATACATGTCCCTATCCCGATGGGACATGGTTTTTTCTCTATCCCGATGGGACATGATTCTTTCTCTATCCCGATGGGACATGGTTCTTTCTCTATCCCGATGGGACATGGCTCTTTCTCTATCCCGATGGGACATGATTCGTTCTCTATCCCGATGGGACATGTTTCTTTCCCTATCCCGATGGGACATGGTTCTTTCTCTATCGCGATGGGACATGATTCTTTCTCTATCCCGATGGGACATGGTTCTCTCTCTATCCCGATGGGACATGATTCTTTCTCTATCCCGATGGGACATGGTTCTTTCCCTATCCCAAGGGGACATGGTTCTTTCTCTATCCCGATGGGTCATGGTTCGTTCTCTATCCCGATGGGACATGATTCTTTCTCTATCCCGATGGGACATGGCTCTTTCTCTATCCCGATGGGACATGATTCGTTCTCTATCCCGATGGGACATGGCTCTTTCTCTATTACGATGGGACATGGCTCTTTCTCTATCCCGATGGGACATGATTCGTTCTCTATCCCGATGGCACATGGCTCTTTCTCTATTACGATGGGACATGGTTCTTTCTCTATCCCGATGTGACATGATTCTATCTCTATCCCGATGGGTCATGGTTCTTTCTCTATCCCGATGGGACATGGTTCTTTCTCTAACCCGATGGGACATGGTTCTTTCTCTATCCCGATGGGACATGGTTCTTTCTCTATCCCGATGGGACATGGTTCTTTCTCTATCCCGATGGGACATGGTTCTTTCTCTATCCCGATGGGACATGGTTCTTTCTCTATCCCGATGGGACATGGTTCTTTCTCTATCCCGATGGGACATGGTTCTTTCTCTATCCCGATGGGACATGGTTCTTTCTCTATCCCGATGGGACATGGTTCTTTCTCTATCCCGATGGGACATGGTTCTTTCTCTATCCCGATGGGACATGGTTCTTTCTCTATCCCGATGGGACATGGTTCTTTCTCTATCCCGATGGGACATGGTTCTTTCTCTATCCCGATGGGACATGGTTCTTTCTCTATCCCGATGGGACATGGTTCTTTCTCTATCCCGATGGGACATGGTTCTTTCTCTATCCCGATGGGACATGGTTCTTTCTCTATCCCGATGGGACATGGTTCTTTCTCTATCCCGATGGGACATGGTTCTTTCTCTATCCCGATGGGACATGGTTCTTTCTCTATCCCGATGGGACATGGTTCTTTCTCTATCCCGATGGGACATGGTTCTTTCTCTATCCCGATGGGACATGGTTCTTTCTCTATCCCGATGGGACATGGCTCTTTCTCTATCCCGATGGGACATGATTCGTTCTCTATCCCGATGGTAAATGGCTCTTTCTCTATCCCGATGGGACATGATTCTTTCTCTATCCCGATGAGTAATGGCTCTTTCTCTATCCCGATGGGACATGGCTCTTTCTCTATCCCGATGGGACATGGTTCTTTCCCTATCCCGATGGAACATGGTTCTTTCGCTATCGCGATGGGACATGATTCTTTCTCTATCCCGATGGGACATGATTCGTTCTCTATCCCGATGGGACATGGTTCTTTCTCTATCCCGATGGAACATGGTTCTTTCGCTATCGCGATGGGACATGATTCTTTCTCTATCCCGATGGGACATGGTTCTTTCTCTATCCCGATGGACGTGGTTCTTTCTCTATCCCGCTGGGACATGGCTCTTTCTCTATCCCGATGGGACATGGTTCTTTCTCTATCCCGATGG